ATGTTGCATTGTTTATTTCCCTTGCATTTTCGATATGAGCTCAATTTTATATATATGAGAAATTTTAAGGAACTTATTCCACTTCTGATTAGAATATTATTCCATATTATGGAATTCACTAAATTTATTTGCATTTAAGCTGTTGGAATGCAAAAAAACTCCCCTTAAAATACATAAATACAGACGTACACATGTATATCAAAGCAAATGTCGTTTCATAAATTTAGCTTGTGTACATATTTTGCACCGTCTAAAGAGTTTAATTATTTTGTTGACAGAAGTTAACTTTTGCGCCTTGTTTTGTTGACGCTACGCATTTTGCTATAGTGCTGTGGAATGCTGAATTTAGAGACTTCGGATGTACATAGGCATATAGCTCTATACACTTAGATAAGCGAGACTGAAGGTGCTTGGGATAATAAACAAACACGCGCCAAATTCAAATGTCAACAACGTCTGCCCCCAGAGCAAGACCCACGGGCCTCGGCCCCTTCCCTCTCAATTGCTGCGAGCTTTTTGCCAATTTGGGAAATTTTTGCATTCCATACATACCGCAAAAAAGAGAAACAGATATAAATATATCCAATAACTAATTAACAATACAAATAAACTGAAACAAATGTGCACACACACACGCATAGACAACTGTGAACGTACATGTGCTTGTGTGTGTGTGTGAGTAAGAGAGGGATTTTTGATGCGTTATTAAGCGGCTCGTTGAATGCGATGCTATTGGAATTTTTAATTGTTTAATTGCGGCCAAATTTTTGCTTGCCTGACTTGAAAGACAATATGCCGCATTTGCGACATTTTTATGAGCTATTATGAGCATTAGGCATTCAAAGGTAATACAGAAATCACAGCAGGCCAACGACTAGCGACTAGCGAAAAGAGAGCAGAAGCGATATATGTATGTCGCTCTCTGTCAAGTAGCTTGTCACATTTTTACAGCTGTGCTGTTGATTACATGGCCTCTGTTAAGTTGTATGTTAATGGTCCATGTAAGAGCCTATTTTTAGTTAGTTTCTCTATTGCCCAAACGTCACTAAAAACTATCGTAAAATGCGTACGATGGTGTGATTATATATGTGTGTGTGTGGGGGGAGTCGCGTGCGCATGTAAAAAGCATAAGAAATTGGCCATCAAAATGCAAGGCAAGTGGAAAAGCAAATAAAATACATAACAGAAATGCCAGTCGCAGGCCACAGAGACCAGCACACAAGCAGCGAGTTTAAGAGAGTGTGAGAGCAAGTTGTCTCTCTCTCACACACACACGCGCATTCGCTTGCTCGCCTTGCTGGGCAGAATATAAAAATAGTATTAGTTGCTGATTATTATTGCAAAAATGCGCATTCCTCGGCGACTTATCCCCACAAGGCGGCTGCTGCTGCTGCCTGCCTGCCTACTGCTCCACTCTCTGTGTTTTCGTTTCGTTTTCCCTTTTTCATACACTCACACACACACACACATGCGAGTGTGCAGCATTATGCATGTGTGTGTGCAGTTGCAACAGGCATGTTTCAAAATGTGTGGAAAAAGAGAAGAAAAGAAAAAAAATTGAAGCAAGAAGCAAGAAAAACGAGCTAAATTGCATTTTCGTCGTCGTCGACGTTGTCGCTCGTCGATTGCAACTTGCAGCAGCCAGCGACGACGACGTCGTAAACAGTGGCGTGCTGCTAGGGGGGTTGCGCTTAAACTCTCCATGCGCTGCCATCAATGGCCAAACGCCCACCCCTTCGCCCTAACCAACACAAACTAGACGCAGAAGCAAACTGGGCCCCGGCTTGACTTGGCCTGGCCAGGCCTGGTCACTTTTTTATCGTTCATTTACTTTTAAAAAGCAGCAGCAGAAAAATCAGCAACAACAACAGATCACTGTATTTATTGCCTTGCTCATGCCTGGACTCTGTGTGTGTGTGTTTTTGGAATGCACACGAGCACATAGACAACGCCTCACCTGTTTAGTCGCTGCCTGCAGGCGGAGCAGCCCACAACAACAACAACTGCAGCAGCAACAGCCATACAAACACACACACACACACAGACACATACTATAATCCACTACGAATTGCATGCTGGAATGTGAATGGAATCTCAACAATTTTTAGCGTCGTTGGCGTTGACGCCGTCGACGTCGCCGTCGCCGTTGCCGTTGACGTTGTTTGGCGCAACTTTTTGCACGTCAAATCAAAAAAATAAATAAATAAATATGAAAAATTCAAAATAAATCACGTAAAAAACAAGCAATTACAATGTGATGTATGCAAATGTATGTAAAGCTAAGCAAATACATTAGGTTATGAACGTATGTATATATGTCACTCAGTTGACAAAGCCAAAATATACAAATGCGCATACATACACACATATACATATATGAAGCTGCTTGAGAAATTATTGTCGTACTGACATTGACGTTCATCTCTAAGCAGAAGCAGCAGAGGCAGAGGCAGAGGCAGCGGCTGAAGCAGAGACCAAAGCAGCGACAGCGCAGCAGCTGCCTCTAATTACAAGCGCACCCGCAGTTGTTACTATTGTTGTCGTTGTTATTGTTGCAGTTACTTGTGCCACATTTTGCATCTCTCATATTTACATTTACATTGCAAACACGTTGACGTTGATGTTGTTGTTTCTTTCAAATTTATTGTCATAAAGGTATTCCTTCAAGTTTTAGGTTTGCACAAACATAAAAATAAAGTTCATCAAGGCCAAATACGGTCACACTCATTCGACATATGAATACAGACACATATTACACATATTCAGATATATATAATAATCAAAAATAAGATCGATAAATTTAGATTTTCTTTTATTAATAAGAAACTAACTCAAATTTGTCTATGATTTTTCTTAAAAGTGTATAAGGAGTTCTTCTTAGTGAAAGATCACTGTATTAAGACAGAACAAATGTTATGCACACTACCTACTTTTGATAATTTGTTTTATTCGCGTTAATAGATAAGATTTTGCAACAATTTTTGTTTGCATTTTTGCATTAAGAATTGTTTTATTTACTTTTTTTGTACGCAGATCGCATTTCGTGTTCCCCGTACAAACAGATTCACCTGGCTATTACGGCGAAACCTAATGATACCCATAGGTGTATAGGTGTATTGGATGACAGTAAACTAATTGTTTTGCCAGATTGTTTGTCTGTTTTATTTATTTATGTTCACTGTTTATGGAGAAGCCTAACATATAGAATAAACAGTTGCTTAATTGCTTTATAATTCACATTATTTCCACATTAATTGACTCATTACAGCTGTTATCGATAGTATTTCGAATATAAGGAGAATCATCATAAGACAATTTTGATCTCTTCATATTAGTTTCAGCGTTGATATTTATTTCTCCATATAACTTATCAAAGGAGTATCCCTCATGTTCAATTCAGCTGTCTCATGAGTAACTGTTGTTGTTGCTCTTGTTAGCTATTGTTTGCTTTTGAATTTTCATTTTCTAATTGTTGCTGCGGCTGCGGCTGTAATTGTTGCAATTGTTTTAAACAAATTGCATGCGAATTTTACAAACGCCCACAAAATGACGAGTTTTGACACCTGAATTATAACGGCAATTAGCAGCAGATGGCATTCCAAGAGAGAGACATACAGTTTGAGAGACAGAGAAAGAAAGAGAGAGAGACTGTTTTAAGGACAACGGGGAGAGGCGCATAATTATGCACACATATACACACAAACGTACACGATCGCACGCATACACAAAAACATATGCAGCAGAATGGAAAAGGGATGGAAGAAGGGCGTGCAGCTAGAGCGGAGCCGTTGCAGCTGAAGAATTTAATCCGATTTGTAGTAATGTAACGAGCGCGCAGATATTGCGAGCAACGACATCGGAGTGCGGTGGGGAGGGGCGTAGAGTTAGAAAAAGCAACACACGCACACACACACACATGCTATCATACTTGCTCACACACTGGCACTCACGAACTGCGCGTAGTGAGAAGAAAAATATGTAAATAGATGAACCGTTGCATGCATTTGGCATTTTATTTTGGATTTTCCACAAAGCTACAAAATGCACTCACACACTTGCGTTTTCTATGTAGGTTTTCTTGGATATATATGCATATATGTATTTGTACATACATATAAAATTTTTTTTTTAGAAAGAGAAACAGAGCCAACCAGCACAATTGGAAATACATACATACACGAGACACATATACACACACACGCACGCACGAACTGAGAAGTACTGAATTTTCGATCGCTAACCAAACGTCTCGCGCACTATTTTCTTATGGTATCGTTGCGTTTTCTTTTAATTTACCTTCACGCGCTGCGTTTTCGCACTTTTCACAAATTTTCCTCCACCTCCACGCGCTGCGTTGTTTTAATTAATAATAATAGATGAGCGATATATTGTGGTGGTTGAGCGATCGACTGTGTACAGAATGTGGTGGTTAGACGACAGTTTAATTTACAGACTTGCACGGAGCATCGTTATCGATAACATGCTTAAAAATGGGTACCACTGAAATTGTCCACTCAGCTTATAGCTGAATATTACAACACTCGCAATCGCGGGCAGTTTAAAAATGTTGCCTTAACAACATTTTATAAAATTTTAGTAAATTGTTATAATAAGAAACAAATATGGGAATATATAGAAGATAAACTCATAAATTTGAGCCTTGTCATATATTTTCATTAAATTATTTGTTATTAACTGTTAATTGAAACTCATCGTATTATATGTAGAGGTCATACAGATCCAGCAATGATAGCATATAATATTTTGGGGCTTATGATGGCGAAATGATCCGAATTTAGCTTATCAGAGCTGAAAAATATATATAAGAATATATATATAATAAAATAATATAAGAAAATATATATAATAAAATAATATAAGAAAATATATATAATAAAATACCAGTCTCAATTAGTTTCGGGAATTGCTGTTAGTATTTAGTTGAAAGATAAGTATTATTACTGCGAAAGTGAAACGGTCACACTAGTGCCTCTGTCCGCAGTTGTCTGCGCGCACTTTAACCGAGCGGCTGTTTAGCTGTTTATACGGTCGACGAAGTTCCTTTGCGGCCACTTAGCATTGTTTTTGTGTGTCGTCGCTCGCTTGACGCTTGTATTAACAAAAAATTTAGTTAGCCAGTTTGAATTGGTTGCAAACGAATTGAGCTATTTATCAATTTGAGGAAATCGGTAATAAATAGTGTCTTAGTTAGAGTCGCCATCTGAATATCTGCATCTGCATATGCGTATGCGTGTGTGTACGTGTGTATTAAAGTGTGAAATGGCGAAAATCAATAACAAAGCAAAGTAAATAAAACGCAGGCGAAAAGTGCATACGAAAGTGGCTGTGGCAATGCAAAGAAGAAGAAACAGCGGCTGCACTGTAAACGTTCTGTTGAGTGAGAAAGCAAGCAGCTTCAGGCCAGGCCCAGTTGTTGTAGTTGTAGCTGTAGTTGTAGTTGTAAATACATACAAGTGGATCCGACGTGACGTGAATTTGTAAAGTGCGCCGTTATAAACGCAGCTTTTGCTGCTGTTTTATCTGCTGCTGGGTCTGCTGTCGTCGCTGCCGCTGCCTCTGCATTTTGTGCGGACTCTTGAAAACTCTGAGCTGCCGCTGTTTTTTAATGTTATATATTTTTTGTGTTATGTATATACATATATTTTAATTAATTCCCATTCTGGTTCTTTAGCTGCGAATAGGGTCAAAATAAAACACGCAAAAAGCGTTTTAATTCCAAGTATTTCTTAAAAAGAAAAAAAGAAGAGAAACAATTTATAAGCGTGTCTGTCTGTGCCTCTAGTGCATGTGTGTGTGTAAACAGAACAACGCGCGTGATTCATACCTTGATACTCCGGGGGCGGCACAGGAAAAGTCGTCGACAGCGCGTGTTGTTGTTGGCCCGAAAGACACGGACACGGAGTCCGTCCATTGAACTGCCGCGGCTGACGACGACGTCGACGACGGCAACGGCTGGTGCTGCTGCGACGCGACTGCGACGCAATTGCTTCCTGGCGAAACGACGCCGACAACAACAACATGGACAAAAGTAAGTATGCTGAGGAATAACAAGAAGACGATGACGAAAATGTAGAAAAGTGAACACAAACAAAAAAAAAATAAAAAAAAAAACTATGAAATTCGTGCCTTGCTGCAGTTTTGCTGTTGTTATTGTTGTTGCTGCTGCTGCTGACACTGCTGTTGGCTATGTTTTTAGGGTGGGTCCGTTTATCTATGCCTTTTGTGCTCTGCGCTTTGCGCGTCCATTCGCATTGTTGGGTGTGTCCCAGGGTGGGCGTGCAAAGTTTCTAGTTTTTTTTCCACAAGGACATTAACACAACAAATTTATTGTTGCAGTTGCAAATACAAATTGCGGTACTTAAATTTAACGTTAACGTACGCAGCACAAAGATTTTAGATTTTCGCAGAGGCTCAGCTCAACTCAAGTCAAATAAGAAAATAATAATAAAAAAGGTTTGAAACCAGTTTTACAGTTGACTTTATTTTTTTTATTATTTTATTTATTTTTGTAAAAAAAAAGAATTTGTTGTTGATGATTTCATGCGGCAAAGAGTTTAAAGAGTTTTTTTGGCTTTTGTTTTGGCTGCGAACGTGCGGGACTTTGATGGGAAGCATAATGTGAATGGCTAAGACAAAAGATTTGGATTTGTAGAAACTGAACCAGGTAGAAACGGTGTGAGTGGCAGAACAGAGTTGGTAAGCGCGCCAGCTTTTAGAAGAATCTAATGTTTCGACTTATAATACTAAGTTTCGTAAACCTAGTTTAGGACAGAACTTTCAACAGAAGTCGTACATGTCTTATGAAGGGATTGATAATAATATTGGATTTTCTTTAAGTATTGATAGAGTTATAGTATATATATTGTATATACTATAATATAGTCTACCTTTTATAGTATTCTGGTATATAGTCAACAAACCACTAATTATCAATAATTTGTTCGGGTTATATTATACATCGATGTATGGGAATGAAGTGCAAATTGAAAAACAAGTTTTTGTTTGGCAAAGGAGAAATTGAAGTCATTTCTAGAAATTTGATGTTTATATATATATGTATGTGTGTGGTGTTAAATATTGTAAGAGCTGTGCATCTAACAGTATTCTCAATTTCTTTATAAGTTTTGCCTTGATTTTTTATTCTGCCAGGTAAAATTATTTTCTCTAGCCAATTAAATAAAAACATTTTGAAAACAATAAATTTAAACAAATATAACTTGCACTTACTGTTGATAGCATTTATTCTAAATTTTACTATTGTTATTTATTTTTGTCTACTACTTTCATTCAGCACTACTATTTTAATAAACAGGAGAGGCTCAATATATCTCTCTTTAAAATCGAGAAAAACATTGAATTCTGATCGAAAGTAATAGAATTTTGTTCTTAATTCAATTCTAAACAAAAAGTGTGCACCGTTTTATTTTCGATCGAAACAAGTAAAATTTTATTTGGTTTATATTTAGGGAAGTGCAGCGCTCCTATTTTTCTGAACAAACATTTAACTCTTCGCAACTAGCAACTTGGGAAGCTGTACTGTCTGGAAATTTTCCGACTTAACAAAGAAAATATATTAATTTAAATAATTAATGTTGTTATTCTTTCTTTCTGCTTTCGTTCATATTATTATATATATTTACATATATGTATGCATATTGTCATATGTATATTTAAAGCATTATCTTTTATATATCATTGAAATCATGTGACATAATGCCAGCATTTAACCTTTAACCTTTGCAGCTGTTAGGGCATGTGAAAACAGGAGATTGACAGCTAACGGTTATAGACTATAACTTGCAGTATATATATATATATATATATATATATATATATATATATATATATATATATATATGTGTGTGTGCGTGTGTTTGTGTATATGTGCACTCTACGACTTCTCTGATAAGGATAGAGCAGAGTCGTTGAGCGTGCAATATTAATAAAACATGGTTTTGCTTTCTTTGTCAACCTCAAGATTGTTTAAATGTTCATTGTTGTTGTTGTTGATGTAGCTGATAATATAGCTGATTGGGTTGCATATACTCAGCTTACAGCCGACACCCGACAGCCGCCTATCTGCTTCGCTGATGATTTCTTTTGATGAGCAATTTGAGGCACACAATGGGGCTCGTCTGGAATGGTTTTGTCTGGGTCGCATTTGCATCCCGAACAAAAGACGCCGTTGCTTTCTTCCGTTGTTGTTTTTAAGTGATTCGATTTGAAAACTAAAAGTGAAAAATCTTGAAGAATACAAAAGCGAAACAGCAGCAAACCATAAATGAAGCTGATGACCAACAGGAAATGCCCGGACACACAACAACACAACAGTGGTTGTTTCTGATTTTTAATAATAATAATATATCCATTAAAAAATGATTAGTAATGGGTATTTTGTAGATTGGCGGCATTCCATAAAAGACTCTAGAAATATGTTCGTTTCATAGAAATCAGCGCTATTTGAATGCGAAGCTAAAAGAGCTAAGTCATTAACAGTTTGAGTGAAGTATATATACAGGGTATCTGAAAGTCAGGCATGCTATCTTCGAGTGCAAAAGTGTGCATATACACACAACTTATGAAAAATATTTTCCAATTTGACAGGGAAAATTATAAATGTACCAGGTATATTCTAGTCAGGCAGTCAATGAAGTCGGCTATTCCTAAATGAAACTAAAGTCTTATAATTAGACAGAGACTTTACTCATCCTCTCTCTCTCTCTCTCTCTTTCTCTTTACACATATATAATTTGTAAGGCATGTGCAGGGTATCCAGCCGTTGGGCATTCTCGCCTAGCGCACGCTTATATTCCTATTTTTATTTTTTCATAAAATGATTTTTTGAAATCTTTTATTTTAATACGAATCGCTTATCAGTTGCGCCGGTTGCCATTTGATAAATTGCTTGTGGCAAGCCTTGGGTCTTGTGTCTTGTGGGTGTGGCAATTACTTTTCTCTTCTGCTTCTGCTTCTTTTCCATCCTTCTCTTGTGGCTCAGCTCGTGCGTGGGCCAATGGCTTAAAGCATTGCCCAGCCCATGAGCTGACTCCCTTTCCCTGAATTTGCCTACAATTTCTTAACCCATTCGCATTCATAATCGAGTGGATGGATGATTCATCAGGTCTGAAGTTGTGTCACGACGAATGCGAACTGCGAACGCCGAGCAGCTACAAAATTATGCGGATTTTATGTGCTTAGACTCTCTCCCCACCAATGGAACAATCACCCGCATGCAAATAACTGTGAATGCATATTATTTGCAGTCCATTCGAGGGCTTTGAGTCAGCTCCCAACAACTGCTCGATGTGGAAGTAGTCGAAATGTGCTGGCATTTTTTTGCTCTGCCTTCGTTTATCTTATCGCCAACTTATCAGAGCGTACAGTTTTTGTTTTTCTTTTTTTTCTATTTTTTTTTTTTTACAAATTTATATGGAAACATATCGAGTTTTGCACGGTACAAAACTTTTGTGCTGCTCAACTTTCGTCTGACACTGAAAAATAATTATCAAATAAATTACTGCTTGACTAGCAAATACCCAGTCTTGATTATGTTTGACTATGAGATACCATTTTTTTTGAGTATATATTTAGATATAGAAATTCTATATATTTGGAGATTTTATATTTAAAATCTTAAATTAATTAATAAGGATAAGAAAAACATTTGATTATCTCTAAGTAATATATCTACAAGAACTATGTCATTTAACCTGTATAACACAGTTCTCTTATTTTTCTTAGAGTGCTATGCAGTAAGCTAATATACCCGTTATTCTGTAAACAATTTCCAATGCATAAACGTATAAATAATGAAAAACTATGCCAAGTTTAGTAAATGTTTGCGCTGCTTAAACAACCACACGTTATGTAAGTTTATACATATGTGTGTGCAGGTATGAATAAATCTAGGCATGACTGCGTGTGTGTGTGTGAGTGTGTATTTATGCTGCTTGGCTGATTGGGCGACATTTTGTGAGACATACGCTTTATGCTCTTTATCAGTCAATTGTTTAGGCATCATTAATTCTGGTTGCAAACAACAAGAAACAAGAAATGCGGGCGCAAGCGAGTCAGCCAAGCCATATAAACACAAAACAATCCAAACACAAACACACTCACACTTACACACATATATTTACACACATATATATGTACGCATATCATTGAACTGATAAGCGTCAACTGAACTCAAGGCCTCGTCTTCAACGTACCCTCTGGCCTCGTTCTGGCCCCTTCAATAGCGCTCGACTGTCGCAATTGTTTAATTGAAACTCTATAAGTGAAAAGTAACTGTTCCTTAAACAAATTCAATTCCAAGAATTTTCCACTGCTTGCCAAACAAATTGAATGGAAAAGCGTTGACTCAAGTATCTTACTCAATTAAACATAGATGACTTGAAGTGCTTAAGCATTGTTCCAGTTTTTCTTTGAGTGGAGTGAAATGAAAGATGAAATGAGAATGAAGATTTCAGTCTCTTAACTCTACAAGTTCGAGAAATGGAAGTGGAGACTTTGAGTAGAGCGAAAGTCAAGAAACTTGACACACAGCCAAAATGTTCATCTTCTCATTATATATAGTTCAAAATGTGAAGATTTTATTTGGTAAACTTAAAGGAAATTCTGAATTCAAAAGCAAAATCTCTAGATGTCAGTCCCCAAGAGCAATTGTATTTGTTGGCCCCACTTTGTTGAAGATATAAAAACATAGAAAGCATTCCATTCATGACTGCAATATGCAATCTCTTAACTAATTATATCTATAAATAGCACAGCATAAATAACGTTTCCTAGTGCAATGGAAAAGCGCTTTGGTCTGAATGAAGTACCATTAGGAAAATGTAATCAACAAGAGGCTCTTAATGGCCAGCTGACCTCTGGCTGCTAGTCAAGTTGCGCACTTGGCCGACGCCCCCACATAGCTCTGAGTGTACACACGTATATTTATTAGTCGTTTAGTCTTTCATCTTTCAAACACACACTAACACACGCACACACTTTCCATCGTAAAGTCTTTTTTAATTAAACAAA